AAACCCTAAACCCTAAACTGTAGGCTCTCAAATACAAGCCCGTGGTAAAATCCCAACCGCCAAGCCAACATCGCGGAGCCTTCGAAGTTGTTTAGAGGGTTAGGGTTTAGGGTTTAGGGTTTAGGGTTTAGGGTTTAGGGTTTAGGGTTTAGGGTTTAGGGTTTAGGGTTTAGGGTTTGGGGGTTTGGGGGTTTCGGGTTTTGAGGCTTAAGTGCCTTAAACCCTCAACTAAAACCACGAAAACCTACACCATAAACTCAACAAATAAGCCGAAAACTGCCCGTAAGCCCTAAAGTCTAAACCCTACTTTAGGGTTTAGGGTTTAGGGTCTAGGGTTTAGGCCTAAACTCCAAACCGTAAGGGCAGCGGGATGCCACACTGCCATCCAAAACGGCAAAACTCGCATGGGATCTGAAGCAGACTACATAGCCGAGGTCCTTCAACTTGACAGACTTTAGGGTTATGGCTCAGGGTTTAGGGTTTAGGCTTGTAGGCTTGGGTGTTGATTCAGCGCGCATTTTTGACGGTTAGATATATTTTGTTGACTTGCTTTGGTGGTTTGGGGGTTGTACTTCTTCTGTCGTGAACTTTCTTCGCACCACTTGCTTGCTTTCGTTAGCTGATGATGCGGTTTATGGTTCAGTACAGCCTACAAGCAGTACCCACAAGCCGACTGCCTGCAAGTTGTTTCCTCATGGTGGGTTAGGCTTTGGCATCTCTTGCAATTAAGTTTAGATTTGCGAGGTTGGTTGTTGTTTGGCGGTCGTGCTCAGCCATGAAGCCTTTAGGCTTGGACTGCAAGGTAAAGGGCTCAGGGTTGAAGGGGGGGGCAAAGGGTTCTCACGTGCTTGGGCTTCAAGCGCTCAAGCTGGGTTGTATTTATGGGGTTCAAGATGTGTCTAATTTCGTTATTTGCTTAAGGGCATTCGAAAGTCTGGCAGCTTGAGAAAACTCTGAAAACTGAACCCTAAACGCTATGCTTGGCAGGAACCCCTAAAAAACCGAAGCCCTGAACCCTTAAAACCTAGAAGTCCAAAACCCTAAAGCCCTAAACCCTGAACCCTAAAACCCTATCAACCCTAAACCCCTAAACCCCCTCAAAACAAAAGAACCCCCATGGTTTCCACAAGAAAAAACAGCACAGGAGTAGGGGTCATCCTATAGCCCACTTCTACGCAGGAGGCCGAAGTGGTGGGTTAGTGGTTTATTGTTTAGGGTTTAGGGTTTAGGGTAGCATAACATACCCCGAAGCCCCATTGTACTCATTCAGGCCCCTACACCCTAACCACTAATTGCCCCTGTAGAGGGATCGTCTTAGAAACCCGTTAAAGGAACCTTATTCTCTTCATATCTCGCCATACTACAGCAATCTTAAAGCATTCTTGCACATGGGGATTTGGGGTAGTATCCAGGGACCCGGAGGCATAGTATAGCCCTATGGGTCCACAGGACCCAATCGTGAGGTACTTTGGTTACGGATAGTAGCTATCTAGGTTAACAATTGGGAGAGTATATGATTATTGGGTAGTTGGACACTTAGGGTAGTATCATATGGTTGATGAAAATATATGCATTTTCCCGCTTTGCCCATAATAAGGAATATACCCTAATTCCCACAGCTTAGGGTCCTTAAAGTACTGCAGGATTTATATCATCAACCCTATCGTAAAGCAGTTAGCCCTCGGCACAGACCTGCCAAGATCCTCCCAAAAATCCGGGGAGACAACGACTCACCGTATAGCGGCAGGAGACCCCCGGGGGAGAGTTTTCTGTGAAGATGGTGCTCAGCAGCTGAGGGTTCAGGGTTTGGGTATAGAAGGAGAGGGTACAGGTCTACTGAGAGGATCATGGGACTTGGTAACTAGGGTTATAGATTAGGTAACTTTTGTTGTTATTTATTTATTTATATATATATATATATACATAAACTACAATTGAGATAGCCTTACTTACTAAGTCCTACTTACCCAGTCCCATGATCCTCCAAATAGTGTACAGGGTATAGGGTGTAGGAGACCCCGGGTGAAAGTCTTAGGCCCACAAAGCTAAACTCTGTATGGCTTTTGGTACCTTCAGCCCTTCTAATAACTTGGGCGCTGGGCCCTTTACTGTCCTTGCAAACAGAGCTGCAGGCTTAGGGTATAGGGCTTAGAGTTTCGTGTGGGGTTGAGGTGCTGCGGATATGATGGAGAAGCCTGAATCAACTAAACTGAATGTAGATCGGGGCTTTGGGGAGATGTTCGGTATGAACTCAGAGAGTAGTATTACCGTCTATCAAGCTTCCGTATTGATGTAACACACCTGATGAATAAAACGCCACCCTTTCAAAGACCCTAAACCCTAAACCCTAAACCCTAAACCCTAAACCCTAAACCCTAAACACTAAACCCTATCCTATAATCCGCGCCCTTCAATGAACCGCGCGACTTTGCATACACCCTGAGCCCTAAGGCCGAAACCGCATACCCTACGTTACACAAATATATTAGGGTTTAGGGTTTAGGGTTTAGGGTTTAGGGTTTAGGGTTTAGGGTTTAGGGTTTAGGGTTTAGCCTAGAGCCCGACATCCCGAAACCCTAGTAACTACTAGTCTACTAGTAGTACTCTTAGAGGACCCCCCACAAAGACTGTCTCTAAACCCTAGTACCTCCAGTAGCCTGTAGTAGTCTTAGAGGAAACCCAAAGAACCCCACCTAGTGGACTGAGTCTGCATGATGGACTAAACCCCTAAACCCTAAACCCTAAACCCTAAACCCTAAACCCCAAAACCCTAAACCCTAAACCCTAAACCCTAAACATGATGGACCCTAACCCCTAAACTCTACAATGGATTACTTAGGAAGCCAAAATAATCACCAACATCATTCCGGAGGGCTCCCCCAATATGACTTTACTATAAAGGAGCCCCAAACCCTACTCTAAGTTTTATCTTACTTCCCCTATAAGCCAGGGAAATAAAAGGTTAAACTTTCAGATTACTACTAAACTACTAAATCATAAGATAAACTTTCAGATTTCT